CACGAGGGCGGTCGTCATCAGAAGTCAAGGACGTACATTAAACTCCCCGGTGTACAGCCTCCCAGACATTCTCCTGCCAGAAGCATCTCTTATGATAATATTTCAGACTCTACAGGCCTTGCAGGGTTTTTCCTCTCGCTCCTGTTTGGCCTCAAATGTCAACAACAGCTCACGTAACACACTCTCAAAACATTCCTCTCCCTCTCCGAATGTTTACTGTCTGTTTCTGCTACGACATCTTATCAAGGAAAAGTGAAGCGACGCATCCGAGGAGTTTCTGGTTCAGGCTGTAATTCGGGACAAAGTTTTGATTTTGCAAACGCATCTGTCAATCAGTATGGAGTAACGTTAAACAAAATACTGATTCAAACGGGGCTTCGGGAAATTCCGTCTGTTAAGTCTTCTACAAACTTTACAGACGCCTCCAACGAAAAAGTTCCCACACTCATCGGATATATAGATGTATAACTTTATGCTCAGCCTTGTGAATCAAATCATGACACAGTACAAAGGTCTCCTATGTTCAGAAAGTTTTGCAAAATGTCCTGTAGATAGAAATCCCCTTTAAACTGGAGTGTCCTACTGTTGGGAAGTGTGAACCCTGGTGTCAACATCTGTCTTTAATTTTAAATGCACCACAACAGTGGTTGAAAGCACTGTGCTTAAGTAAAGTCTTGAAGTACTTGTACTTCCATTTAAAGCCACTTTATGCTTCCACGTGATTATATTTCAGAGAAAACACTGCCCTTTGTACGCTGCTACAATTATTGGACAGACTTTACACAATGGATAACACAACAAGCTTTTAAAATGCAAAACAAGAATAAACATGTGGTTCTAACTATTTTTGGTTTCTGACATCATACAAAAATCAGAGTGTAGCTGTCTGTGAGTTACTACCAGCTTTATCAAATAGTGATTTCTAAATGTCTCTAAACATCCTCTGATTCATTTCAGTAATGAACCAGTACCTCACCAAAAATCTTAATCTGAAAATCTGAAACAAGAACGGAAGCAGATTTGTGTATCAGTACTATTTTTTTCTTCTTTCCTCTCCAGTTGACAAGCCCTCAGATTTATCTGTTGTGCCTGTATGTAAAACTGAACATAAAGTAGATCAAACCAATGTACTTGTGCGAAACTTCTCCTCGTATTGGAGCATTTTTACATTGCTGTATTGGTACTTTTACATAAACAGCTCTAAATACTTTCCCCACCTCATAGTCATGACAGCACTGACACTATCCACTCACCATCTCTATGATGGAAGAAGTTGTTTTCTCCATTATGATGGGACATTTTGTAAAAAAAAAAAAAAAAAATGAAAATGTTGGATCTTTTATGTCATTTTTTTTGGCATTTATTCGATTTTTTGCTCTTTATTTAATATGTATTTATCTTGTATACCCCATTATTACTACAGTATTTTCATTATTCCCCTTTGATGAACTGCTGAGAGACCACAGACAGCTGAGGCCTTCACATTCAGCTAAAATAACTACACTAGCTGTACATTGCTTTAGTATATCCAAACAAAAAGAGGATAAAAAATACATTTTGCACAGGTATGACAGATACCTCTGTGGCAAATACAGGAGTGGAGAATGTTGGTTTCTTGAGGAAGCGGAAGAGGAGGAAGGGTTCAGTTCCTATTGTTGTTGGTACGTGCCAAACACTGTCCCTAACAAGTAGTTAAAATCAAGTCAGTTGTACTTAAAGGGCTCTAATGAATGGGGACGGAGGGGGAAAAAAGCAGAACAATAAACCGCAGACGCACTTCTGGATAAAGATTACTGAGTGAAACCAGAGAAAACCACTATCATTTAGAGAAGCTTCTGTTCATGTCACTATATATGATAATATCTGCCAAGATGTGGGAAACGGCCTGCCAGGCTGTGGAGCTGACGTCACTGTGTCATGGGAAGTCAAACCACTGCTGCTCATTTTCCTCTTTCATTCTTCTGAAATCAATGTGGTGACTGCAATGTGAATGTTTTGAACGGAACAAAATGTGTTTGATTCATAACTTGGAAAATCCCCAGATGTGGCAAAGGACATGAGGAATAAAAAGTGAATCCTATTATAGTAGGCTAGCTGAGGGCATAAAGCAATGAAACAGCAAAAACAAACAAAAAAGGAGCCTCTTATTACTGTCAGTTATCCAAAATACATTAAATTATGTTCATGATTGATTCATATATACATAAATCATCTTCTCTTTGTGTTAATCGTTTAAGCTGTAATATGGTACCAGTCAAAAGTTTGGACACTCAATGGTTTTTCTCTATTTGAATTATTTCCATGAGGTCGCCTCCTGTAATGGTTTTGAACTAACAGGTGTGCCTTGTCCAGAGTCAATTTGTGGAGTTACTTGCCTTCTTAATGTGTTTGAGACCATCAGTTGTGCTGTGCAGGGGTAGGGTTAGTACACAGTGGATAGCCATAGTATGACTAGAACCAGTCAACTCAGTAAAGAGAAACGACAGTCCGTCATTACTTTAAAACACGAAGGTCGGTCGATATGGAAAACTTCAAGAACTTTCAATGTATCCTCAGGTGCAAACCGTCAAACACTATGATGAAACTGACTCTCATGAGGAAAGGAAGACCAAGAGTTACCTCTGCTGCAGAGGTGACACTGTTTGCTGGTGACACTGTTGGTGATTTTAAGGCACATTTAACTAGCATTCTGCAGCGCCATGCCGTCCCATCTGGTTTGCTCTTACTGGGACCATCATTAGTTTTTCAACAAGACCATGACCCCAAACACACCTCCAGGTTATGTAAGGGATATCTGACCAAGGAGGAAAGTGATGGAGTGCTGCGTCAGATGACCTGGCCTCCACAATCACCCGGCCTACACCCAACTGAGATGGTTTGGGATGAGTTGGACTGCAGAGTGAAGGAAAAGCAGCCAGCAAGTGCTCAGCACCTCTGGGAAGTCTTTCAGGACTGTTGGAAAGCGATCCAGGAGACGACCTCATGGTTGAGAGAACGCCAAGAGTGAGCAAATTTGTCATCAAAGCTGAAGGTGGCTGATATAAAGAATCTAAAATATAAAACATAACACTTCTTTGTTTACAACATAATTCCATATATGTTCTTTCATAGCTTTGATTTCTTCAGTAATGATCTATGATGTAGAAAATAATTAAAATAAATAAAAACCATTAAATGAGAAGGTGTGTCCAAACTTTTGACTGGTACAGTATATGTTTTTAACAAGTGAAAACTCTCAAAATCCCAGAACAGAAGGCAAAATCTTATGATTACATGGTTTGTTCATTCAACATTTCAAAAGATGATTTGATTCAGGATGAGCTTCTTAATCTATGGACAGAAAATCATCTAAATTCTTCCAGTTTCCCAAATGTGTGAACGTGTCTGTCTAATACAACAGCAAACAGAATACATTAGATTTAATGGAAGTAAACAAACAGAGATTAAACTTGAAAAAAATGATGACATTTCTTGATAAGTAAAACAATAATGGGATACAGCCTTATTTGGGATATTTAAAAAAAAAACAGCAGATTTTTGAAGTCTCATTTGAATCCTGCCAAACTGATTGGACAGAACAGTGAAAGTTGCCATAAATCTGCATCCAGATCAAATCCAAATAATCACAATTCAGAAACCCTTTAATATTACTAAACTGCATAAAGCATCACCTCGGTTGTTTCGCTGTTTGACTTAGCGTTTGCCACCTCTACAGCTAATCACATTTTTTTTTTCCATACAGAAGAGTTTTTGTTGAAGTCAGATGCCCAATCACTCTTTGCCAGATACGTGACACTAAACTTCCCTAAATTCTGGGTGAGATCAGCAAAAGTGCTCTTTCATGGCAACACGTACAGCAGACGACAACCTCAAGCCTGACCAAAGAAGAAAAGAAATAAGAGCTGGTTTTAAAAAGACGACGGCCTCCGAGGAGCAACAGAGAATTAGATTCCTCTTCTAACATTAATGCAGGTGTTTATTAGATGTTGTGTAGTTTAGACACAAACAAACATAAGAAACTAATCACAAAACTCCTCTGAGATGACAATCATCAACATCAATGGTGCAGCTACAGCACGTCCCTGTCATTACTATATCAAGGTAAAAGCTTCTTTACTGAATTCAGTCACCTGCGATTTGTAGCGCCAACATTGATAGAAATCTGCCCTCAGCTGAAAGAGTAAGCCAGAGACTTCCGTCTTCCTCGTTCATGTAGCACCAACAGCGGGTGAGGATCTTTCCAGGACTGATAGACAGCTTGGCCGCTCGACACTGAGCTATTATTGTGCTCAGCGGAAGAAGCTGGCCGGTATTTCAGAATTTGGATCATTTTCACAGCAGATTCTGTCCATCTGTCTCCCAGGAGCGTCCCAGCTAAGTTACGTAAGCCCCAGATTTGAAGCTGGGCCTGGTTTATTGTGTCAACACACAGTCATCCATTGTAGGGAGCAGCTTTTGGTGATCAGGTGGAATATAAAGTCACACACAGGGTTGTTTTCTCTGTGAACAGTGGGCGGCTGGTATAGTTTTACAACTCTGGAAACTTTCACATGCCATTGTTTGGGATTTGATATCCATTACTTCTCATTACACTATCATATGACATGAACTGGACTTCTACAAATACTAACATCTAACCAATTAAAATATCTAACCAGTTAAAATAATTTCCTTCCATTTTTCGTGAAACACATGGTGAGATTAAAAACAACGCACAGCAAAAGCTTCTTTGTAACTGCTCAGAATAGAAATATAAATGCATAGAATAGTTATTGTGGTTTGCATAAACACAATATTGTTGCAGGTTTGCTATCAGGCTGTGTTTTAGGCCGACATTCGTCCTGCAAACAGCACTGTTGTTTTCTCACCAAAACATGACAGCATCTCATCTTTACGCAACACTGTCAGCAGGCCTCCAGCTGCAGGCCTCAAAAGGCTGAGCTGACAAACACAAGTAATGGTTTCAAGAAAAAGAAAGAAAGAAAGAAAAAGAATCTTACCTTCAGTTAAACAGAGATTTCAAAACATTGACAAACACGCTGTGGTCGTCGTCTCTTCCTCCCTCTTTCTGTCTCACAACTTCTTCTCCGCCTGGCACAAACAGCCTACTGAACGTTTCCTGCCTCCATCACCAAGTTGAAGGCTGACGCTGACGGAAAGCTGGGCATTTACGGTCAAAGCAAACCAAAGGAGAGAAAATAAAAGTGTAAAAAAAAAAAAAAAAAAGATACAAAATTCAAAACACGCACTCTGAGCGCAGAGCTGATCCCGCGGGACGCACGCAACTTTTCAGCAACGCAGAAAGTAGGTTAGACTCACTTCCCTGTTAGTCACGAAAAGGAGGACGGTGAATGATTTCCTGCCATCACGTTCAAGTCCGCACATGACTGTTTGTAATGTGAACGCGCAGCTCGTCGGGGCTGTTTGGATGTGGGTACGTGAGTCCTGCAAGTCTCGTGAAATGAAGCCGTGCGGGATCGTGAACAGCAGCACAAGCGTGTTTTGGCGTTGCTCTGTCCGCGAAAGAGAAACTACAGTACGGAGGGCTTGGTGAACTTCCACAGAACGACTCGTAGGCGGAGTACTGTTGAGTCATTTCACGACGTGCACTAACTTCCAGTAAGCCTCTGCGGAGACGCGTGATACCATATCTGCCGATGGCAGCGTCTCCGGGGCGCACAACTTCTCAACGGCAACCAGCGAAACACATCAGGCCCAAAGAATTTATTTGGTTGTTTGGTTTGACAATTTATGATCCTGTTGTTTTCCTGTTTGTTGTGGCGGCTCAGTAACGGCTCGGTTCCAGTAAATATCTCTATCTTATGCAACAACATAATCTACATTTACTCAAACACTGGAGTGCCACTTTGAGCTACTTTTATTTTTCCACCACAATTCAGACACACATATTTTACATTTTACCCCCCTGGGCTATTGAATAATTACTATTACATTTATTAATATAGATTTAAAAATACATTTTGCAGATGCATGTAGGAATTAAAGTGCACTCTCAGTGGAAATTTTTTTGTCTTTTATCTTGTTATCATGTCCTTAAGGTGTTTTTTTTTTTTTTTTTTTAAATGCTGATAGACATATGATGAGTAATATAAGCACTCTGTGCATTGACTGGGCATTTCCACCTTGACACTGCAGTCTCCTGATGGTCGAGCAATGAGCTGGATTCAATTCAATTCAGTTTTATTTATATAGCGCAGTGTACAACACGTCATCTCACAGCGCTTAACATAGTCAGATACAGACCGTATGAATTTTAAACAGACAACCCAATAATCCAAGGTTGCCTTTAGACTCCCTCTGAGCAAGCTGTCGGCAATGGTGGGAAAGAACCAAAAAAACCCCAGTGGGAGTCAAAAAACCTTCCGACAGAACCATGCTCAGGAAAGGGGGCCATCAGCCGGTCGGGGTGAGGGTGGGGATAGTAAGGTAGCAGATGGAGAGCAAGCAGTAGAGCAGAACAGTACATATTTTGGGGGTCGGTGAGTCGGATTCAGTGAGTCATAGTAATAAAAAAGTTAGTGATGGTTTGTATATTGATGTTGTTATTGTTTGTGATGTTGTTTGATCTGTGTAGGTGGTGCTGATTTACAGTGTTGTCCCATGGAGAGATCAAGATTAACTTTATTGTCCTAGGCGTAAGAAATTTGTCTTGAGCTGTTCACCCATGCTGCAGTCAACACAAGCAGACACAAGCAGGGAAAATGCAGTGAATAGATTGACTAAATACATGCATACATACATACATACATACATACATACATACATACATACATACATACATACATACACATCAGGTAAAAGCAGGAAAAAAAGTGAATATCAGTCTAATTTCATGAATCATGAGGGGCGCTGACACTCATGGGCCTGGTTGATGTGAGCAAGTGTTCACCTGTTGAGTAATCAGAAGGGGAGAAGGTTTGTTTGATGAGGGGTTTTTCTTTGCCATAATTTGCACATATTGTAAATAAATTAATCATTTTTCTTTTGTGAAAGCTGCTTCAGACATATTTTGTGATCCAGTGCAGGTCATGCATTTTTACTCTTAGGCCTTCAGTGGCATCCTGCCTGAATCAAACCACCTCTTAACATCCATCAGTATTATGCAGAATGGCAATATAGCGGGCTGTTGCATTGCAGACAGGTATCTCATGTAGTGAGAATGAATGCCATCACTAAAGTAAGAAAGCCAGTTAAAACTATTCAACAAGTCTCCTTTCACAGCAGCCACAGCTGCACCACATACATCACATCTAGCAGGAGCATCAATATCAACCCAATAAAATGACAAGAATATATATTTTACTTACCAAAACTTGTGATTAAATTGGACACAAACTCCATCCTCCTTTCTTTCATCATAAACAGTTCAATCACTCTGTTAAGCAGGTAATCCGTGCGTTTCACTTCCAACCATAAGTCCTGTTCTATCACTATAGAGGCTGATGCTGAAAGTCGGGTCTGTCCAGCTGTGTTTCTGCCATAAGTTTTAATTTGCTTTAAGGCTGAGAATGCCCTGTGCTTAACTTAAAAAATAATAAAATGAAAATAAAAATACTTTTACACTAAAGTTTTAACTTGTGCAGGTCGCTACAGACAGGAACCGCTGGCTTTGGCTTAGCTCTCTGACTGTCCAATCAAAGGACGTGAAAATGCTGAGATTTTTTTGTTTTGTTTTTTGTTTTTTTTGTTTGTTTGTTTTTTTTATGAAAAAAAAAAGAAAATGCTGACATTATCGTAGGCCAGCTAGCTGGCCCTGGGACCACCAACTCTAAATCTGATTGGTTGAAGCAACAGTTTCATTGCTATGTATTTTCAGCAACAGATGAATACACTTTTGATTCTAAGGGCCTCAGGGCAGATTTCTGTGACCCTGGCAACACATGACAGCTGAAATGTGATTGGATAAAAGCTCTAATATAAACATACACTGCTGGAAGCACCACAGCCCAGAGACACGCTATGAAATGAAGAAAACAGATGATTGGGAATAATGTAAAAAGATTAATGGGAAAATATTACAACGTAAGTCAGTGATTGTGATAGAGTTTAGGCAGCAGACAAGGCCACACCACTGTTGGGATCTCAGTCTTCTTTGTAGTGCGTCATACAAGATAAAGTTGCTACGCTTATCATAAAACACAGATCTTCCAATCAACTTACAGGATGGACCTTTCTGTATCATTCTTCTTCTTCAGAACGGGCTTCTAGTTCGAATTATTGCAACCTGACATTGTGTAGCACAGAGCAGTTTTTACAGTGTTTGGCAGGTGAGCTGATGTGCTCCAGCTGCAGTCATTCACTGTATGAAAGATGGACACAGCTTCCACGCCTCAAAAGTAAAGTCAGTAAGAAGTACATTAATTTTTTTTTCTAATGGCCAGCAGAGGGCAACTTCACTGGTCACAAAATTAATTCCAGAATGAACAGAAGTCTATCAGAAATCAACCATACTTCTCTCTTTATTTGTAGCCTCAGTTTAAAAAATAAAATAAAAATCAGGACTTTTATGGTCTCAGTTGTTAGTTTCAAGTGTTTTTATAACAACAATAACTTTGTTTACTATTTAGTTTAGTAAATGTGAGTGTGCTTGGTTGTCTGTCTCTAAGTGTGGCCTTGCGATAGACTGGTGACCTGTCCAGGGTGTCCCCTGCCTTCGCCCTAAGTCAGCTGGGATAGACTACAGCCCCCCTGCGGCCCTAGTGAGGATTAAGCGGTGTATAGATAATGGATGGACTATTTAGTTTAAATAGTGCTCGGATACACAGGAAGACCACTGCACAACAGAAGGCCGGTTGGGCCAAACAGAAAGAAAAAAGAGTAGATAAGCAGAAGTAGAGAAGCAAAGTTAAACATAGTAAAAGATTTACAAAATGAACCAGTACAATATCAAATAAAAGAATATCACCATCTAAAATCACATCCTGTCTTGTCATTGACAGGGTGTTGCTGTATTGCTGTGCAATGCATCTTTGAGCTCCTCAGTCAGAGCCACACTTCACTACATTTACGGCAAATGCCAGACCGGAGGCTTCAAAACAGTAATCCATTAGTCAGTGGGTGACACACAGTAGCTACATTCATGTTTCATATAACGTTTATGGCTGCAGCAACCGGGAAAGGATGTGTGGAAAGAGAGAGTGAGGCAGGGACTTCCCAGATCTGCACATCCGACAGGAAGCAACAGTGTAGAGTTACATCAGAGCCACCTAACGGCAGGAAAAGATTGTTCTTATGGGAAAAACTCATTAAAGTGCAACTTTGATACTCTGAGTTGAGTTTTTAGGCGTTTAGTCTTGTATAGTTTTTTTTTTTCATGAGTTTTAAGGAATAATTGGAAGCAAAACAGCACTCCAATACCAGATATATAGTACCACATAGGCCCAGTTTTCCAGACACAGATTAACCTAGTCCTAGACAACAACAAAATTGTATTTTTTATTTTTTTTTAGTCGTCTTCAGTGTCTGGGTAATAGAAACACAATACACTGATCCGCCACAACATTACAACCACTGACAGTTGAGGTGAAGTTAATGACAATGATAAGCTTGTTATGATGTAATGTTGTGCTGGGAAACCTTGGGTCCTTCACGTGAATGCTACTTTATCATTGCACCATCCACCGAAATATTTTTGCAAGACTAGTGTTAGACCCGGTTCTTTTGTTGAAACAGCTCCAAGAAGTAGTCAGTGAAAAGTTCAGGTCTCAGGTTAAACAGTTTATTCAGGTCACATGAAAAGTTTTGCAGCGCTGGATTCAGACAGACAGAGAGTGATCTCATGTCCAGCTGAACTGAGTTTTTTGTTTTTGGGTTCAGGTTACGGAGGTTACAGTCAGAGGTTGGACTGGTACGCTACCGAGTTACTGTGACGTGAACAGGCTAACCACTGTTCATGTGGAAGTTCACTGAAATGTAAACAGAAACTGCTTGGATCGAATACAAAGTGTGTGTATGTGTTGTCCAAAAAGCGTGTATCTAAAGCAACTGATAGAAAAGAGGAGTTTCCACTGTCTCCCAGTATATGAACCAGTTCTCACCGGCCATGTTATCATCAACGACGTGCATTGTGCTCAGTAGAAAAAACCAAAACAGGATCATAGGTTCAGTGGAAAAATACAGATTCAGAATCCATAATAGCTTGAAACATACTAAATAATAACACTGGCACACCTCCGCATGGTGACAGCAGACAGCTGGACAATGCTTTGAGGTGGATATGTAACAGCCAAGTTGGAGTTACCTCAGGACGCAAAAACTTTCTGCAAAGAACCATCAAGACCAGATTATAAGTACCAGATAAGTGGTGTTATAGATTCCACTCTTCTGTATAGAGTTGGCTGCAGAAATATCCTTTACACACTCCATTACTGGACAATCCTTTGAGGGAAACAATGTTCAGGTTATGGACTGAGAAGACAAATGGTTTAAGAAAGGGGTGAAGGAGGCCATTTACAAGGGTATTCCAAAAAGTTGTCTGCCTCACCCGGAAACAAGGGGTGCAACACA